CGAAATCCGAGTTATAACAAATAAGTTATGACCTGTCGAAGTTTCGCGACAGAACCGGTACGACGCTGTGTGACGTAAAAAGTGAATTTACGATAAAGTGCTTTTTAGCATTAGTGATCTAAAGGAAAGTCGTAGTATACGTTAAACCGAGAGCGTGCATAAAAAGAATGTCCAAATCTGACTTCGTATGAGGAAGTTATGATTTTTCTAAGTTTTGGCTTAGCAGTATACAACCCGAAGTTCGAATATGAGATCGAACGATTTTTAGCCGAAACAACCTAAACGAGAATCGAAGATCTTGTTGATAGTAGTTCAACGGTAAAAAGACAGACAAAAACGGACGTCGGATGAAGAAGTTATGAATTTTTAAAGGACTTTTCCTGTCCCGACCTGTTAAAAATATAACTTTAAAAATTTAAGTCAAAATTAGCCGACGGATTCTAAAAGAAAGTTGTAGAGCATAACTTTACCTACACGTGGATATAAAGAACGTCAAAAACGGAACTTGTATGTGAAAGTTATGAATTTTTGAAGTTTGTGGCACACATTTCGAAGCTCATCCGAAGGGAACGCCATGCGTCTGAGGGAACGCCCCGCGTTCGCAGCCACCTGGTCCGGGGTCACCCACCTAGCACCTCGCATGGATGACACGTACGAAGCTCGGAATAAGTGAACACGCGTCTCGCACCTACGCGCTGCGTCCGAAGGAACGCCCTGCGTTCCTTGTAGGTACGCCCTGCGCTCTGAAGTCAGCAGCCTACTATAAATAGTGAGCGAGGCCATCCAAATTTACGTTTACAATTTCCATTCTCCCACCCTATACTTTCCTTTAAGTTGCAATAAATACCTCTAACCCTAAAATACCATCCTAACATCATAAGCAAGTCCCGAAGATCCCGAGAAAAGTGTTTTTCGAGACGAAACTCTGCCCGCGTAAAACCCGATTTTTGAGAAAACATATCGATTCTATAAAATGCGTGCTATGTATAATTATATTGTTTGTTTCTTTGAGATGGGTGTTGAATAGATGTTTTATACAAATTTTAAATTGTATATGTATTTTTATCTACAAATATGTTGGGTAAAACATGAGTAGATGAAATAGTTGATGTGTGTTAAAATGATGAGAGACCTAGATGTTGTTGTTGTTGTTGTTGTTGTTGTCATCTAGCGGAGTATAGATGACGACCACAGACCTTTCTAGACAGTCCACTGGAACGCTAGCAGGCTCGCAACCTGTAGGTGTTGGTGAACTATATGTTCGCTGGTGTACTCCATCCCCCTCATGGTTGCCTTATTTGACATAAATTGTTGAGGAATCTCCCAAAGTAGTGTTGTCACCCCGATGAATATCCTTAGGCTAGGTCCCTTATGATAGGTGTTTAGGGACGTAAAGTGATGATAACGGGAACGGGTAATCAAGGTTATTGTTGTTTGATTAAATTAATAAATTTATTGTTTGTTGATGAAATTAATAAATTTATTATTATTTGTGGGTTGAAAACCCTATATGCTTACCAGGCTCCCAAGCCTGACCCACTTAGCTTTCTATATTACAGGTAGTGGACCCAGAGCATAGTTTGGATGATGACGAGAGATTTTTGGATTATAGGCCAGTAGATATAAATAACTGTTGTAAGGCTTAAAAAGTATTGTTTATGCTTTTGGTCTGTATCGGAAGATGACATCCCGAGGTTTTGTTATATAATAAAAATACATTTATTTAAGAAATGTTTTGATAAATTTTTTATCATATTTCGTTTTGGGGACAAATTTCGCAACATCTTTTGGAAGATTACTCTGATTTTATTTTAAAAGCATAAACTAAATCGGTCTTTTCTGGCCGATAAATTTGGGGATGTCACAGTCGGTATCAGAGCATTAGTTTAAGCGAACTAGGAATTTGTAGGATTTCTAGTATTAAACTTAGAATGCTAAATGATAATCGTGAGATGAATGTCTACCATATTTTAGACACGAGCACTAGTATATTTTAGGAAATATGTCTAAAATGTTTTTATGTGCTAAATGCTATATGTTTTCCATATATGATATTATTTGTTCGGATCTATGGTCTGTCGCCGACCGGATCTGGAAACCTTATGTGTTTAGGATTCTAAGTGTATGACTACGATATAAATAAATATAATTAGGTATAATACCTTTTTGTAAAATAAAAATAAAATAAATAATTAATTAATTAAACGAAAGTATTTATAAAAATAGTAAAACAGTATAAATACTTTCTTCAATTTCCATCAATAATCTAGAAGATCCACCACCCTCAAGAAAAACACAAGAGCTTTACAGAAAACCCCTTTTATCTCAAAACCCTAGAATTTTTCCTTCAATTTCATCCATCTCAAGAGAAGAAATTAGAAAACAAAACAGGAAGAAAAGAAAAAAACATGGTTAAGGAAGCAACATTGGGTTGGGTATACGATTCTTGACAACATAAAAGACGGAACCTTCTAAAGAAATTGTTTGTTTCATTGTTGTTGTGATGTAAAAAGCAATGAGTTTGCAGCTCAAATTCAACAACAAATGGGTATAGTACGGACATACGGTGGTAGTGTCAGTAGACAAAAACATAATAAGTGGTTTTTTCTTGATCTTTTAAAAATTAAAGGAATGTATGAAAACTTAGATGGATGGTTATGATTTGATTTAGTGTGATGTAAATTGCCAACTTTAATGCACGCGCTGTTCAGTTACATCTGCCCGGAGCAGACCGACAGTCGACCGGATTGGGCCGTCGCCGGCAGGCGGGACACTTTTTTATCGAAAAGCTCGAGCTATCACGACACGTATGTGGGTTTAGTGGAATCGTGTAACCCAAGTTCAAAATCTTGTCAAACTTTTGGTTTCTTTTTAAAAGTTTCAAGAATGCATTACACTAATATTATTAGTAATGACTAATGTATATTCAGATATTTTTTTAGTAATTATATATATACCCAAGTTATAGAACTTGGGTTCTTATTATATATTTTTTCAACTGTAATTTGTAATTGTGAAAATTCACATGGTTATTATTATATATTTATGTTGATATTGAAATATTTTGCGTAGCTTTTTTTTATTAAGTTATATGATTTAAGACAAATTATAGAGAATCACAATGTATTTTACCTTATCTACCAATATAAAGAATGAATTTTGCCTTATCTACCAATATGAAGAATGTATTTTGTATGTTATGTGCACAAAAGAATAACCTATATATATATATATATATATATATATAATATATATATATATCTATATATATATATAATATATATATATATATATATATATATATATATATATATATATATATTTCTTTATCGATAACTGTGATGTATTTTATTTTTACCTATAATAATAATAATAATAATAATATATTTATATTTTATTATCAATGTTGGCATCATACTTTATTTGTTATATGTTGTTATCTGTAAATGAATGTATTGTTGTTTGATGAATAAAGAATTATAAGTATGTTGCCAACATTTGTTAAGTAAATGCATGTATGTTGTTATTTATGAGTTAAATATTGTTATCATTTGTAAAGAAAGACAAGTATGTTGTTATATGAGTAAATAAATACAAGTAGATTGATACTATGGGTAAATAATAAATTATATTGCCTATATTGGTAAAACAAGTAAAATGCATGGTTATTTCCAACAATTTTTCTTATAAATGTTTCTTTAGCAATAATCTCAATGAGGGTTGAGCATTAGTCGGTTTTGCGACTATTCTGTTTATATGATATTTTGGTTCGATTATTTAAATAAAGAAGAAAAAGTTCAGTCATGCCCATGATTAGTCAAGAAATGCTAGTGAATGTGCTTATGGATGTCCTGAAAGCAAGTTTTCCAACCCCAAAGCAAATAGATCCTTATCCATTTAAAATACAAAGAAATATGGTCATTGCTTGCTTTGCGGTACATAATTTCATAAGAAAATATAACATTGGCAGAAAATTATTGATGGAGTGATGAAGTCATTATATTCAACATTTTTTTCCAAAAAAAAAAAAGATATTGTATTCAACAATGAAGAATAATTGGAAGAAAGTGGAAAAGAAGAACTAGTTTGAACACCCATGGGGGCACTCTAAGGCTATGCAGAGTGCTTTGGAGATTCTTACGCATAATTCTCACCAAAGAGATGGCCACATCATCCAAACATCCTCCCACATGATTCTCACCAAGATTAAGAAATGGTGTTCAATATATTCTCATCAGTGGGAAAAGAGATAAAGGGGAGAATAACAGTGAGATAGAGAGGGAGGAAAGAAGGAGAGAGTGAATGGGCAAAGCCACAATCACGAGAGCTAACAATACAAGAGGTTGGGGATGGTGTTTGGATGCAACTAACGCATACCTAACACGTAACAAATTGAAGTCCCCGGGATAGCCTAAGTGCACAATATATGTTTAGTGTGCATGATGAAATTGCTAATATGATATAACACATATTTTGATTTAATTTAATTATTTGAACATATTTTAAAATTATGTTTAATATAAGTTACTTATCATGTTATTTTAAAATTATTTAATGTGATAAGGTACACTTTAAGATTTATAACGATTATATCATCAACACTTTATCCACTCATATATCCATTATCCATTGGGTGCACTTTATGACTTATATGCTCATTTTGTTATTTGTCACTGTTTGTTGATTTTTAATGACCGTAATGAAACTTATTGGGGCTTTAGGGGAATGACTGAGGCAGCCCACATAAAACCCTGATTACCTAATTATATCAAATTATATATAACATATTTTTAAAAAATAATAAAGCTTATCCGGGTTTAAACCACAGACCCGATTAAGGTGGTGTATCAAATTATATAAACACATTAAGTAATAGAAATCAGTAAGCACCAACAAACATCAGAAATCTCAAGAACAAAGGTTCTTAATTCTAAAAATGAAAGCCAATAATATATATATATATATATATATATATATATATATATATATATATAAATAATATTCAGCTGGTTTTTTGATGGTGCCATTGTCAAAAGTCAAAAGGAGGTGTTTATCTAGGAGTCGATCTTCCTGGAGGTGCTTGCATTGGGGGGTACTGCATCATAATATTCACAAAAATATATTGTTACTGATACTGATACTGATACTGTTAGATCAAACAAAAACTATAGTTACCTGCATTGTATAAGGCGAGCTTTGTGCCATAAAACCAAGAAATTCTTGCTTCTTGAATTCAAAATTGAACTTCACATGAGCCAACATTGCTTCTTCCCTTTGTATATCTTCCATCATCCTTTCCCTTTTCCATTTAAACTCCTTCATCTCCTTTTCAACTTCAATATACTCCTCAGGTAAATAAGAAACCCCTGAACTTATCGGGAATCTCACTTTCACCTCTTCTTCCCTACAACAATTACAAAATCAAAAACACATTCATATAAAAAAAAAATGTTTAATTCTGGCTTACCGAGTTGTGCCAAGAGAAAAAACACTACAACTTCTTATAATTCCTCCATCCAATGAAACGGCTCCATCATGTATGCAAGGTAGGGCCTGTAACATTTCTGCCCTACTTTTATAAACTTGTAATCGCGAAAACAGAGTATAAAAAAGAGTCTCTCTTAAACCATTCCCTTTGTTTGTTAGATAAAACAAATGTTCACTATTGATATGGATCATATTCACAGCAAACCCCATAAATCCAGCTGGCGTTTCACCATTTGGTAATGTTGGTTTTGAAAGAGCAAGCCTCCTTTGCGCATCATTAGCTAGAAACTCACCATAATATGGACTAAAAGCCATAAAAAGTAAATACTGTTTGTCAAACTAACAACAAAAGATTTGATTTAAAAAAAAAAAAAAAAAAGGGAAAAGAATTTACACATATGACATACCTCATATTTTCAAGACAAATGACATTATAACGCCCTTCCAAGATTTGTCCTATAGCAGTTCCAAGCCCTAAAAGACCTGAACTTTTATTAATACAACCTTCTTTGTCATAAGATTCAAGAGCTTTCACACCATCATATGTCATGCAAACTAAAGCCAACATGTTATCTTGCCCAAGATACTCTGATAGAATCCTGTTTGTTCTCCATCATAAACATTTAAAACCAATAGTTAATGATGATGATTTCTAGAAACATGAATCATGACCTAAAAGAAGACTGAAAAGTCAAACTTACCTGCTAAGATTATCATCGTTGACTTTACCTAAAGTAGCTACAACACCAAGAACATCTTTGATATGAGTAGCTTGATTACGGTGTCGTTTAAGCTGGCACACAATAGCAGCAGCTGATTTTTCATTTTTCATGATATTTTCAATTGTGGCCTCTTCAGTGTGCATTTGTGAAAGATCCCCATCTTCTATCTTAGGTGCAGATGAGGAATGATACTTTCCCAGAGTAACTAACAGAAAAAGAAAATAACTCATGTTTTGCATTTTGAAAATTACAAGAAAACAAATCAAGGGTATTAATGTATATACCTTGCATATCTGTAATCACATCATCTAGACTGTTCTTATGAGTCCTTAAATACTTGATGTTTTCTTCATGTTGTTTAATCTTTTTTCCTAGCAAGAGCATGTCGTTCTCAAGTTTCTGAAAAGATTAATAAAACGAAAGTTAGTAATTTGTGTAACAGGAAAAACAAGAACAGAGATTGACAGATTTGAAATGTCATTAATAACCTTAGAAGGGTTGACAAGAGATTCTGCTCCATTCTCTGATCCATCCCTTGCAGCATTAGATGTGTCATTTTGACCAGTGTAGTTCATTGCTGATGGAACTTGTACACTTAACACATTTGGACGTATTGGCATCTAAAAAGATTGACTAGTTATAAAGAGAGGTATAGTATACTCAATAATGTGAACGAGATATTATGGTTGAAGATGGAACTTGGCAGATTACATATCATTATCAATTGAGGAATCAAACAAATGAACTGAAATCTTAAAAGGGTAAGCTAGATTTATTCATCAACCATGAATCTGACAACCACAGTCCCCACCCTCTCAAGCACTTCAACCATGATTAACCCTGTATGTTCGTTCATAATCATGATTCATGACCAAAACCATGCTTCCATCAAGAATTCATTCATGGAAAAGTTGGTGATACCCTAACTCTGGAGCCGAAAGCCGAAACTTCCCCTTTAGATACTCAAACTTCGCAATGTACTAACATCAAACCACATATACTTGGTATGTTCTACTTTATGAAAACTTAAATTTAAAGAAAATTGGTGGAAATAGGTTTACATGAGCATGAGTCAACAGATTGAAACGTTTATATACAAATGCGCACATACACTTCAATTGAAGTCCAATAAACTTGACAAAAATACAAAAGGATTTTGCCTTTTTTTTTTTCAATTTCAGAATGCGAAACTAGAACACGAAATGCGAAACCCTAACGGAAATCGATACCTGTTGGCCAGACGAATACATGGTGTTCGGAGCAAATTGGGGTTCCGGGCAGGTAGATTCCCGTGTGCAATGTGGGAGACAACCCCAAATGATCTCGGTTCGGACAAGTGAGAGCTATGCTATGCTGTGTACGCTTTGCGATTTTTGAGTACTACTAATTCATAATTGAAACAAGAGCGAAGAAAGACAAGGCAACTTAACTTTTTTATTACAGCTCCAAACTCCAAAAACCAACCTAAGTGGGAGCTTAAAAAAAAAAACTTATGGTTTCACATCTATGTAACTTAAAATAAACGTTTAGAATTTTTTTTTAAAATAGCTTATAGCCGTGTCATGGTGTGGAACCATAGAGTTTTGATAAGTTATCAAAACTCTTTATAGTGTAGGAAATATTTTTTTGTCATTTTGCAAAAACTAAAAATGTTTATCAACTTATAGGGTTTTGACACTGAATAAGCAAATCTAAACATTTTTAAAAAAATTCCGTTTTGACACCGCTATAAGCTAATAAGCTATAAATTAAAAAATATTTATCATTTTAAATAAGTTCAACCAAACACCCTCTAAATATGAATGAAACCACCACAAATATTTGGGCAAAGCACTAAAATCACCAGGTATGGTATTGGTAGGTGTTATTATAAGGAATCATTTTTTTACGTTTATTATAAAAAGAGTACATATTTTGCATAAAAACTTAAAAAAGAACACCCTAATATCACTTTAACTTGTGAGTACAAAAGTAATATGTGATGTATGTTTAGATTTTATCTATATAAAAACCATAATACTTGGATTACATATTGTTTGTAGTTCATAGATTAGTCGTTTCCAAACAATGTATGCAAGTTGCAAACTCCTATGGTAAGAGAAATGTCATGTATTGTAAGCTCCTACTCGATAAGAATAAATGTCATGTAAGTTCCTCTTATAATAAGATAAGGGCATTTGCATATCCCAAAACTTGGTTCCATACGCTAGTTAGGTTCCTCGTGATTAACAATTCTCATTGATGACAACCTATAAGATGAAAGATCGTATCAACAAATGTGAAGCACACAATCGATGCAAATAGTTAATGGGCATTCTTATATGTAGGGACCATATCATAAAGAACTAAAGATAATATAAGGGATTAAAAAGCATAAAAATAAATTAAAGCTAGGGGAATATGGATTAAAGACTCAAAGCTAGATTGTTGAGACATACTGAGTTATATAATCAAGCTAGATAGTTTTATAATTTTCTCTTTATTTACTTCAAATTAAATGTAATCATCTCTTTTATAATTGACACTTAAATCCCTCCAGAATAGTAATTTCTTGACAATCACCAAAATTTCTCATTTATCTTAAATAAGGTCAAAGAAGTAAAAAGAGCAATGTTATTTGAAATCTCAGTTATCCGTCGAGGTATTCCCTTATGATATCTCCATCGATTGGAAACGACTAATAGCTTCATGATTATATTTTGGAAAGGAAAAATGATTTGTTAGGAACTAATAAAGGAAAAGTATTCATCTCACAACTCTCATTTAAATGTCTATGACTAATGCCTTCTCCAATGTCCATGACAATTTAGTGTGAGTCAATAGTGACCGTCATATATAGCGGACCACCATCTCAAACACCAAAACCGCTTTTCAATATATAATAGTAATATTATCTATTCATCAATTAATTCCCAAACTATTATATACCTTGTATTCTATAATATTTATTTATAATAATTAATATATTTGTTATGATTTTGATATTTTCCAAAAAAAATCAAAAGGCGGTTAAATCTTGTTCTATAGTTTTGACGTTAACTAAACTTTGTGTAATGCAAAAATAAAGATATTATAAATGCGACAACCTTAAACCTATATTATTAATAGATATTTGTATATTTTAATTTTAATAATTAACTATATTATATATTAGTAAAACTGATAAAGTTTATAAATAATTTTAAAGAATATGTTTTTTTGTTATTAAAATATTGGATGTATATATGTTTTGGTGTGATTTTTAGTTTATGGTTGGAGTTGAAAACAAAAGTTTAAAACAAGCCAATCCATTTTAATATATTCCAAACTATAATGTCATCCAAAAGTGAGCTAATCTAAAATAAGTTTATTTACATACCAAGACATATAATGCTATCCAAAAGATAAAAAAGTTCCATAATCAGTCCCTATGTTAGCTAGCTAAGGAAACTTTACATATATTTGTGAGATGCATAAAATTCTAACTAGGAGAAGGGGGTATACGACCCTGCTACCACAACAACCGGCTTCTCCTCTAAACAAGAAGATATAGGAGACACATCAGTGGTGGTGGTGGTGGTGATAATCGGTTGGGGTTGGTTTTGGTTTTGGTTGCGTGTGAAATAATTAGCATAAACATCGCGTCTTTTTTTGTACTTTTTCTTAAGCTTTTCAAGACAATTATTTTCACTAACCAACTCCTCAACTGTCGCTTTCAGTTTCAACTTCAGTTCATTATACCTCTTCATCACTTGCTTCACACGTGGAGACACCGCTTCATTTCTCATCGCACCCACCGCCACCGGGAATATAATATCCCCTTCCCGTTCCCTGAACATATATAATATAATAATAATAATAATAATGTCAAATTACACACAAATTTATATCAAATAAAAACTTACCAGCAGCATCCGAGAGACATAACGCCGTTTCCTCTGAGTATCCCTCCATCCAAAGAAACCGCACCGTCTTTAATTGACGAAATTGCCCTTATCATCTCCTCTCTCGTTTCGTAAACTTGTGTTTCACCAAAAAGACGATAAAACAACGTCTCTCGAAGACCATAACCAGATTCGGTCCTTGTGTTTAAATAATCAACATCTATGTCTATCATATTTACCGCATAACCTAAAAACCCTTTTGGAGTTGTCCCATCAGGAAGGGTAGGATCCGGTAACAAAAGCTTTCCCTCAACATCTTTGTCTGCCTCGCATGCCCTGCCAGATCACAAGAATTACAGTCATGCCACTAGCCATTGAGATTTTAAAACTTCTGAGATTCACTTATGGCACCTTATATCTTCGATGCATATAACACCGTAACGACCGTTTATAGATTGTCCAAGTTCTGATGCAAACATGTGAAGGGCATGTGCACGATTCACCTCCCCATTCTTTTCATATGTCTCCAGTAATATCACATGTTCATAAGATTTGCATACCACTGCAAGCATTTCATCACCGAGATACTCTGCAAATATCCTGAGAGAAGGTCCAAGGTAATAAAATGGTGTTGTTATATACAGTATCATGTAGGGTTAAATGCAGAAGAAGATTCACCTGCTAAGGTTTAAGGTTGGAGCTGTTCCAACAAGTGCTACAACACCAATAATTCGTCCCATTAAAGTTCCAAAACAATCTTCTTCATCTTGCATCTCTGACATCATTTTGAAGAGTTTGATGACAACAGCAGCAGCGCTCTCAGTCTTACATTCAATCTTTTCTGTGATCTCATCCTTCCCTGGCGAACCGTCTTTGTATTTGCGGGTAGAAGAACAACTTTGGTAATGGTATCTGGAAACTGCATTTCAAAATCCAACATTACATTTACATTATTTCATTTCCAATTGTCTGTTTAACAAGATTAATTGAACTGTGATTAGTTACCATCCAATTCTAATAGTTGGGACTCAATCCCTCTTTGTTGATATTCTAGTAGCCTTATATTCTCTTCGTGTTTACCAATCCTCATGCCAAAATCAATAAGCTCATTTTCAAGGTCCTGAAGGAAATAAAATGGTGTCATTTGTCATAGTAGATATGAACAATTTTTTACATAGAATATGACAAGACTTGGCAGTGTTAGTGTACGTATATACCCTTTGGAAAACAAGGATGGATTCTAATTCGGTTTCTATTCCATCTGCATAAATGTGTTGGACACTTGTACAATCGGTGGGGGTGGGGGTATTTGAGTCCATTAGAGGAAATATATTTTCATCTAGGGACAGATGTTTCGCATTAAGAGGCTCTATCAGCGGAGGCATCTCAACGTGAACCTACATGTAAGAAATAACTTAAATCAGTGGTTCAGAAGTTGTGACATGATTTATTATTTATTTATTTTCGAAAATGACGATTTTAACCTTGATGGTCAACTTGAGATCCGGATGGCAGGCATGAGCAACAACGAAACTAAAATCACCTACTATTTCAGAAGGAACAGGAACTGCACGAACTATGCAACGCCCCTCACGGAAACCATATTTCACAGATTCATCAACATTGTGTGATTGAGATTTTATTACAAGGGTATGGGATTGTCCACTTGTATCTTCATCATGGAAGTTTACATCCACATCACCTTTCGAATCCACAACTTCAAGTTCCAGGTTTTCTAGGTAGGAACCAGCAAAACAGGTTTCAGGTATCTGCAATCATGAAGAACATTATTAATTATAATTTGCTGCTAATGAAATTTGGGAGAAATTAGATCAAGGGTTTCAGACCATTGATACAGTTCTCAGTTGCCTTTCCTCAATCTTCCACTCCTTCATGATAACCGGTTGTCCATCCGATCTAACAGATAGTGATACTGATGACAGTTGATTTTTCAAATGAGAACAACATTGGAATCTAAATAACTGAATGAAAATCATGAGACTAATTAGGGGTTGTTTCTTTTTTTTCCCATCAAGTCATGTATGCATTGCATACAGTGTCTTCTGGATACATAAAGTCAGTTTCTTGGTAGATTTGTTTCTTTTCTGGACAAAGTAAACTGTTTGTATGAGACTAATTTACCCTTACATACGAAAAAACAAATTCACAATGTTCATCAATTTTTAAAGTGAGGACCGAAAAAAATAAGTTAAATAAAATTAACTTGGCTTAACACGTGAAGCCATGTTCTCCATATTAAGTCATAAAGAAACAGCCCCTAAGTTTAATATAACAAAAGCCATTAAACAAATTACAAGCATCATAATACAAAATAAATGGATAGGAATTTAAAGTAGTTTACCTTTTCTTCCATAGCCTGCTGTAACCCTTAAAAGGCCACCAAGATCAACACATCCACCAGCATCCACCTATTGAGTTATATATTATAATGAAAATTTGCTAAATATCAACAACTTAATAAAATCTTGCAAGGGGCACATACCTTCTTAGCAGAAAATGATTTTTCCAATGAGGTAAATCCATTCACGCTTAACTGCACCTTTTCTTTTTCTCGTACAT